ACATCGGGGACGTCAACGTGAACCTCTACAACCTGCCCGACAGCTGCCGCCTCATCCGAGACTCCTACCAGAAGATTGTGGCCTCTGGCTGCGTGCCCCTCACCATGGGTAAGGATCTCGTGTCTCCCTGCCGTGCCGCCGTGTCCCTCTTCAGCCAAACTCCCTCCTCTCCTGCCCTCGTTCAGTCTGAACACAGTAGAAGGTGAGCGATGAATCCGTCCCCTGCCCGGGGGAGGTTGTGCTAAATCATGGGCTAAATCATAGAATCATAGAATCACAGACTGGTTTGGGTTGGGAGGGACCTTAAAGCTCATCCAGCCCCCCTGCCAGCAGCAGGGACACCTTCCACTAGACCAGGTTGCTCAAAGCCTCATCCAGATCATGGGTAAATTTACGTGCTCTTTGTTGAAATTCCTGCCATCAGTGGTGCCTTGTGTGTCAAAAATGGGGAGGATGGGTCAGCCAAGAGACTGTTTGAGTGCCCGGCCTGAAGCTCCACCATGAATCCAGTCAGCAGTGTGCTTTTGGTGTCCTGTCGAGCAGCTTGTGCCCCTCTGAAAAGCTTCAGGCTTGAGCGAGCGCCCGGCAGCGTGAAGGGGGCCTACAAGAAAGCTGGGGAAGGACTTTTCATAAGGGCAGTTAATGACAAAACAAGGGGAAATGGGTTTAAAGTGGAAGAGGGGAGGTTTAGATGAGATATTAGGAAGAAGTTCTTCACTGTGAGGGTGGTCAGACACTGGAACAGGTTGCCCAAGGAAGTTGTAGATGCCCCCTCCCTGGAAGTGTTCTTGGCCAGGCTGGATGAGGCTTTGAGCAACCTGGTCTAGTGGAAGGTGTCCCTGCTGCTGGCAGAGGGGTTGGGACTGGATGAGCTTTAAGGTCCCTTCTAACCCAAACCATTCTATGATTCTATGATTTGAGCACCCGTTCGAGTTTCCAGCCGTTGCAGCCGGGCATCGCTAAATGAAGAGCGTGTCCGTAGTAACGAGGGGCAAATTACCCGTTCCAGCGTCCTCAGAAGTGACTCAAACACTTATTTATAACCCGGGTCAAGGGTCCCGTTCCACGGGCTGCCCCTGCCAGCAGAGTCACACGTCTCTGGTCCTCTCATTTTTCCTGAGGAGGGAAGGGGAGAGAGGAAGCAGCCTGCACCCAGGAGCCTCAGATTTTCCTTTGGGAATGAATCCCTGAGGTGTATAAAGTGCAGGATAAATGCAAGGGGGCGGAAAAAAATCACCTGGGAACAAATGTGATGAATGCTGAGCACCTGTCACAGTGTGTTTCACCCTCTTCCCTATCCTATTGCAGGTGGAGATCACACCATCACGTACCCCATCCTGCAGGCCGTGGCAGAAAAGTAAGTTTCTCACCAGGAAATGTAGAACAGGGACCTGGGAAGGAGCCTTGGGAAGGCTCCTGGTTTGCTGCCCATGGTGCCATCGTACCCGGGGTGGGGACTAACGTGGTCGTCTTGTCTCAACTAGGCACGGTCCCGTGGGACTGGTGCACGTGGATGCTCACACCGACACCGGAGACAGAGCCCTGGGGGAGAAGATCTACCACGGGACCCCGTTCCGGCGCTGCGTGGAGGAAGGGCTGCTGGACTGCAGCCGCGTGGTCCAGATCGGCATCCGAGGCTCCTCCTATGACCCCGATCCCTACAAGTACTGCCGGGACCAGGTAAGCTCAGCCGCAGGCACGTGCTGAGCGCTGCTTTCTTTCCCTGCCATTAATATTCCTTGTTATTAATATTTATAGAATCATAAAATGTGTTGGGTTGGAAGGGACCTCTAAAGGTCATCTAGTCCGACCCCCCTGCAGTGAGCAGGGACATCTTCAACCAGATCAGGTTGCTCAGCTTCATAGAATCCCAGAATCCCAGCCTGGTTTGGGTTGGGAGGGACCTTAAAGCTCATCCAGTTCCACCCCCCCTGCCAGCAGCAGGGACACCTTCCACTAGACCAGGTTGCTCAAAGCCTCATCCAACCTGGCCTTGAACACTTCCAGGGAGGAGCAGCCACAGCTTCTCTGGCCAACCTGGGACACTGTCTCACCACCCTCACACCAAAGAATTTCTTCCTCACATCTCATCTCCATCTCCCCTCTGCCACTTTCAAGCCATCACCCCTTGTTCTGTCACTCCCTACCCTTGGCCAAAGTCCCTCCCCAGCCTTCCTGGAGCCCCTTCAGGTACTGGGAGGCCGCTAGAAGGTCTCCCTGGAGCCTTCTCTTCTCCAGGCTGAGCAGCCCCAACTCTCTCAGCCTGTCCTCTCAGCAGAGCTGCTCCAGCCCTCACATCATCCTGGTGGCCTCCTCTGGACTCGTTCTAACTGGTCCATATGGCTTCAGACATACATATTTCAGAAAATACATCTCTTCTGCATTTTGTCCCATGGCAGCAGCTTGGCCCACAGGACAAGTGCTCCTGGCACACTGAGCCATTAGCTGAGCAGAGAATGAGAAAGTGGGGGTGAGCAGAGGGTCCTTCAAGGGGCATCTGTGCCGCTTGGCCCTGGGATGAGGATTTATCCCGGCAGAAATCACTGGTGGGACAGGGGATGCTCTGCTTCCCCCACCTTTCTCTGAGCGGGTGCCTGCATCTCTGTGCACCCTCAGGGATTCCGGGTGGTCCCGGCTGAAGAGTGCTGGAGGAAATCCCTGGTGCCGCTGATGGGGGAGGTGAGGAAGCAGATGGGGGCCAAGCCCGTGTACGTCAGTTTCGATATCGATGGACTCGACCCCGCGTACGCCCCGGGCACCGGGACGCCGGAGATAGCCGGGCTCACACCTGCGCAGGTAAGGGGGACGCAGCTTCGTTTCCCAGTGGGAAGGGGACATTTTTGGTGCTGTTACAGGAGGTCGTGCTGCCAGCGCAGCAAAGCCAAGGGTTAGGGGAGCATTTCCTAGTGGAAGGGAGGAAAGGAAGCGTTGAGCTGGTGTGGTTTGGTCTGTATATTCCTTAGCTGCGTGTGGGGAGAGCAGAGCCCTGACCAGCACACTCGGTGTCCTGGTTTCGTCAGGATAAAGTGAATTTTCTTCTTAGTAGCTGGAATAGCTGCGTTTTGGTTTGTGAGGGATTTATGATGAGAAGAATGTTGATAAGTTACTCGTCTTATTAGTTGCTGCTCATCCAAAGTCATCATGTTTTTTGCTAGTCTGCAAGTGTAAAGGACTGGGAGGGGGAAAGCAAAGTAATTAGCAAAACCCCAAATTGGCATGTGGCTCTGCCCGTGGGATATGCCGTAGCACATCACGTTGTGTTCAGTTATTAGTGAGGGTTGATCGGAAAGCTGGGGATTCTCTCAGGGGTCACTCTTCTGGGGTTGCAGTTTTGGTGTTGGGACTGTCTCTGGGGACAGGTTGGGCATCAGTTAGCGGGTGGTGAGCAACTGCACTGTGCATTGCTCATTTGCATATTCTATTATTACTGTTAATATTATTTTATTTCAATTAGTAAATTGTTTTTATCTTAACCCAGGAGTTTTTCTCACTTTTACCCATCTGTTTCCCTCCCTTATTCCCTGGAGAGGGGCAGGAGAGCGAGCGAGCGGCTGTGTCTGGCTGCCAAATGAAACCACCACACTAGGTCTGACGGGTTCCTTGATCCCAAATCTGTTGTTCTTTGTTTTTTTTCCTAGGCTTTGGAGATAATTCGTGGCTGCAAAGGACTGAACATAGTGGGATGCGACCTTGTAGAAGTCGCACCCATGTACGATGTCTCCGGTGAGTCTCAAGATGGTTGAGAGTAAGACGTGTGCCCGGCATGGCGCCCCCCCGCCGTGGATGAAAGCACTCGGGCATTCATGGCTGCTTTGGGGTTTTTTTCCCCCCATTTTTTATCTTTCCACAGGTAACACAGCCCTCCTGGGGGCAAACCTGCTATTTGAGATGCTCTGCGTTCTCCCCGGCGTGAAGACAATGTGAGGGCAGCTCCCACCTGCCCCAAGGACAACACAACCCCGACCTCAGCTCAGGCTTCCCACGTCCTCGTGTCGTCTCCTCCTCGACCGATCGCAGCGACCGCGGGTTTTGCAGTAAGGAATAAACACCATTTACCACTAGAAAAGGGAATTTTCAGCTGATCAGCTGTAGGTAGCAGGTGGGTTTGAACAGCCCATGTAACTCGTGTCTGTAGCTTTTGAGTTTGCCTGGGAAAGGAGAAGATGAGGCTGACGGCGTTTCCACGGCTGGAATTACTCACCTGGCTCATGGCAAAACTGCTGCTGGGAAAAGGTTTCTCTCATTAAGATGCAGCAGTGGGATAATGAACGTAGAGGAGGGGAGGACACCTGAAGGTGGCCTGGGAATCTCTGACTGGATTTCTTGCCGGGGATAACCAGGCATCTCTTAGGGCAGGAGAGGTTTAATTGCTCCTGGAATTTCAGAGCTGACGCGGAGGTGATGTCAGTTTGGTTATGGAAACGCGGAGCCACCTCATCACACATTAAAATAGTTTATTTTGGTTGCAAATCTGTAATCGTCTTAAAACAAAATGACATCAGTATTTGGTCACAAATACCAAAAAAAAAGAAAAGAAAAAAAAAGAAAAACAAAAATAAAAAAAGACAAGTTTGCCAAATAAGTTAATTCCCCCCCCCACTCCCAGTATCAAAAGTGCAAAATATGTACCTAGTTTTCAGTCCTACATCTCAGCTGTGGTAATGTACTGGTTCCTGGCAGGATTTCAGTGACTGGCAGAGCAGAGGCCGCCAGCCCCGGCCAACCGCTGCCCACCACGCTCGGTACGGGGAGGAGTTTTGGTAACAACCTTTCGTTTCAGCTTCGGAGCGCTGTGCCTTCGCTCCGACTGCACTAGACTGGTGCACTAGGACTGAATCTCCTCAATCTTTGGATGATGAACCACCACGTGGGTAACAAATCACGAGTGCATTTGCTGATGATACGTTACGATACGGGTCGATACAGGTTAGAAAATTATCGGAGGGTGACGGCTCGCGACTGCTGGGAGAGGGCAGATGGATTTCGGGCGTAAGAAGCCTCGGACCACGCTCTGCTATGAGAAAGCAAGCACCACGATGGACACCAAAGCTAACTAAACGAGGGGTTTAGAACAGTTTGGCGTTTGCTTCAGCCCGTGAAAGGAGTTTTTCCATCAAACAGCGACACGAGCCGAGTTATTCTGACCTGGTTAAGAGCAGCGAAGGGCAGAGTTAAGAGCTGGACAGGAACCGTGTTCCCGGCCAGGACGGACTGCTGCAAACATTCCTTAAACAAACAAAGCTCAGTCTATAAAAGGGGAGGTTACCCGTGCTAAAAAGAAAATGAAACCGAGGATTCCAGCAGCTGTGCAGCACACGGCTGTATTTTGAAGGCCATAAGGCCTTGTCTTCTTACTTGGGGCAGGGCTGAACTCCCTCCCTTGCTGTAGCACAGCGAGGCACTTTTTTTTTCACGTATCAAGGGTTTTCTCCTGGTTTCTGACTAGCTGAAGAGACAACAGAGACCTGGACAGTATTCTTTCTTGCTTTTGCAAACGTTTTTAAAAGTTATGCGGAGCCTTCCAGCAGGCTACAACCTTATTTTAGCCACATCCTGCACGGCAAGTTGCGAGAAAAGCACAAGAGTGCTACAATGATTGCTCCAGACAAACGGAAATCAAGTCCAGCAGCGTCAGGCCAGCGTTTGGTTCCCCCTCCTGCTCTGTTTCAGTGGTACCTGTGCGCATCGGAGCTCTTTGGAAGGGAGAAGACCTTGCCTGCCTGCCTGCCTGCCTTTCCTTCCTTCTTTCCTTCCTTCCTTTCTTCCTTCGCTCTACTTCTGTGCCTCATTCGTGCAGCAGCACAAGCTGTGGCCCGCAGTCTGCTGCGCTAAAATGAAGTAACCTCACGTAGGGGCAGTTGGTAGCATCGTAGCCTTTATCTGGAAGTAGGTTTGAGATCCCTGCGGAGGTCGAAGCACGCCCATCTGCTCCCAGGGTGGGGAGGAACGCGGCAAGCCAAGGGTTTGTGAGCGACTGGGGTCATGTAGGCAGGAAAATGACTTGAGCATTCCCGGATTTTGTATGGAATCGGCAGCTAGCTCAGGGACTGGCATAGATATTTCCAACTGGCCACTCTGCTAAGATGGTAACTAAGGTGGCAAAGGCTGAGTGAGGTTTTAATGAACACCCCGTGCTCAACCGTCAGGTTCAGAGTCCTGCGGCGAAGGGCTCAGCCCCCCGTGCTTCGGCAACTTGCTACCGCAGGGGCTGGGGTACCTGGAGGGGCGGCAAGTACCAGCCCAGGTGACAGTGTCTGTCCCGGAGCAGTGAAAAGGAAGAACAAGTCCCACAGGATTTCAGTCCTGGCTGCAAAGAGGAACCCTACTGCTTTGCTTTATCGCCTGAGGAGTGGAAAGCGGCCGCAAATCTGCCGCTCGCCACCGTACCGAGGGCCGCCCTTTCCCCCCACGGTGCTGAAAGCGGCTGTCGGAGCAAAGCATCAACCAAACCCTGCGCGCTACGACTCTTCTCGCTTCCCACAGACCTCTGAATTCGAAAGACAAAGAAACCTCAAGGCAAACACACAAAAAACCAAGGCAGCAGCCTGCGTGTTGAGAAAGAAAAGGTTTGTGGAGAGAAGGAAACGCGCGAGAGGCCGAAACCGAGCGTCTTGAACCCGTGTCTAAACCGAAAGGAGTTTCACACCTAAAGCGAAGGAAGCGCTTCTGGGGCAACGTTTCAAGAATACAATCGTCGAAGAATTAGGTTCCTTGATACAAAGAAAAGGTTGGTTTGTACTACAGATGTCAGGGTGTTTGAAAGGAGCCCGGAGCGACTCCCTAGCAGCTAGGTAGAGTTTCTTTTTTACACATCTACTGGCTCATAGCAGCTCACGCCTACAATCTGAGGACACAAAGTTATGGCTCTAGGATACATCGTCTAAAATCGACAAGAAGCAGAAAAGGCATCTGAAAAAAATCAGTGTGACATTTAAATGGCTCAACACCTTTACAGTATTTACGGCCGTGCAAAAAACCCCCTTCCCTTCCCGGTTACGGTTTAGCCGGTGAAGCTGCACGTGGAACTATGACACCAGGAGCGTGAAACATGCAGATCGCCTACGAGCCCGCGCCACAGGCGAGTCCCAGCTACGGATTTGCTACGAGGGAGATGCTCCCCACCATACTCTAGATCACTTACCACAGGGAAAGCCGATACAAGTACTGCCTGGTGGGAAGAGGCCTTTCGGAAAGGCAGGGCCTGGGAGGGTCTGCAGGGATTTGCCAGTGTTACACCATGCACCATGGGCTAAGCACACGGGGAAGGGGAGAGAGAGAGAGAACCACGACCCGACCTGCGTCACCGGCCGCGTTCGGTCCGGACCGAGTCACCGCGGCGGAGAAGTCACGGGTTTGTTTTCTTCAACCGAGGTAAAACGAGAGATGGAACGGGGGCGACTCGGGAAGCAGATGTGGCAGGACAAGAAGGGAAAACCAGACTCCTTGGCTCTGGGGTAGCGCGGCGTCCGAACGCACGAAGGAGCGGGTGGAAGGAATTGGTGCGCTTGGCTGCGCTCCCGGGCTCCAGACGCGGGGAGATATTTTCTAGTCGCCGGCCCGAGGAGAGTTTATCTAAAACCTAAGGTCCGTTCATCACGCTTGTTTGTGTGTTCCTGGAAAGAGCTGTCCCTTGTTTTCTTCATAAAAAGTTTTGTCTGTTAGAATCTCTTTTAAAACCCCTCAGTCTAGCGCGGGCCACGAGGGGATATAGAACCTCTGTAAGGAACCCTCGAGGAGGCGTTCCATCCAAAAGGACAATTTGTGTAATTTGTTTTTAATGGATCGAGATCCCGGGCTGCAGGAGGATTTCCCTTTGGCTTCTGTATGTAGCGAGGAATCGTAATCCTCACACGATCCCAGGGTTCCTCCCTCATCCCCTGATCTGTGAGGCTTAAAGAGGCAGAAGTATTTCTTATGGCCGTTGAGAGCCAGGACGTAGCCCGTGTAGTCGCGCTCGAGGAAATGCTTGTCGTACTGGTTTGGGATGGGGGCCGCATCCTGCGCGAACTCTAACAGGTACTCCAGCCATTCTCGGTGCTTGTCCAGGCTGAGGAAGGAGAAATGAAGCGAGCTGCTCCTGGGGGGAAGAGCAGAGAAGCAGGATTAGCCCGTCTCCCGAGTCAGGCCGGATTCCTGCCGGACAGGTAAGCGTTTGTAAACAAGGGCAGGGGCAGAGCTGTGTCACCACAGCTGCTTCTGTAACCCAGTTCAGCGCAGGTGACAATTACCTGGCGTGCAGCACTGCCGTGCTCTCTGTTTGTTGAAATGTGGGTAGAGCCAAAGCAGCCGTGGTGCCAGGCTCATCTGGGCACCTTCACCGAGTACGGCCAGGAAAGGCCACTAGGTTTTTGGTAGCTCGTTGCCATTAACGAGGGCAGAGGCTGCTTTGCTCAACAGAAGCGTTCCCTCCTGGCAATGGAGCCAACACCACTCCTAACTTGTCATCAGAGCAGCACGACACAAGTTGTTAAAACAGTAACAGAATCTCGGGAGAGGGCCCCGACCTACCCTGTGAAGGTGTAGACTTCCAGAGCAAACTTCTGGAGGAGGATGGTTTTGGTTGAGTTGGACAAGATCAAGACCACATTCATGTGACCCGGCCTCAGGCGTACCAAGTTACTGGTGTAGTTGATGTCCGTGAGCTCAGTCACCTCGACAAAGCCCTTTTTGGGAATCCTGCTGCAACAAAACAGTGACTGAGTGAAAGGGGAGCGAGGGACCGGGAGCAACCGAGGATGGAGAAACCATGGATGGAGAAACTGTGAATTCATTCCCCACCCCCTTGCACGGAGCCGTCCCTGTGCCTTGTAGCTACAGGCAGTTTAATCGCTGCAGACTTGGATCCCCCTCGACGAGTCAGTCAGAGCTTCACCCTTCCCCTACGATTGTTGCCTGGGCTAAACTCCACGAGAGCAGCTTACTAGGTTTGTGCAGCCCTGTCCTTGCCGAACACCGCTCCCACCCGCCCCGCTCAACAACTGTGCTACGTCCGCACGACTCTGGCCCTTCTCTGCTGTCCTCCCAACGCTCTCTCTGCGCTCAGGTGCTCCCCAAGCAACGCTTCAGCGGAAAACACGTCTGGAGAAATGAGAGAGGGAACCTGTTACTCTCTTTGCTGAAGCTCGTGTCGTTCTTCTCGGTCTTTGCGGCGGTTTCTTCTTTCTCAGAGGGAGCAGAGTCTCTTGTATCGCTCGAATCGCTGCAAAGGAAGATTATCTTGTGTGAGATTAAGGCGACAGATTGGACTGAGGTGCTATTGGCTGGACCATAAGATCCCCTGGGATGTTTTGGTGGGAGCACTCACCTGAAAGCCTGAACAATAACGGTGCCAAAGAGAATGAAGAGCGCAGAGAAGAGCAGGGACAGCAGCGGCATCATTTCTCGCCTGAGGGGAAGAGTTGCAATCAGGTACGTGAGTCGCGCAATTTCTGCTTGAATTTCAGTTCCCATCTACCTCAAGTAATACCATGCAGTTTCCCCCAGAAACTTGGCTTGTTTCCTGGGGTTTTAAAGAGGATCAAGGTTTGGAGTGCTGTCCTGCTCCCACCCAAAAGGAGGAGAAGGAAAATGGATCCGTTTTAAAATGAGGTGAGAGGAAGGTGGTGGAAAAACAACACTGCTGGGTGTGTTCAAAGCGTAACGTCCACGCTCAGCCTCGAGGCCAAAGAGCCCAGGAGTCGAGGCAGAAGCTGGCACCGCTGTGGTGTCAGTGCTCTTCACCTAAATCTCCAGAGAAAACGGGCACCCGTGTGTTTTGGTAGGTTCTCAGTTCCTATGAATAAGAACCTGGTTTGACTGTGCATCTGAACAAGAGAACAGCAATCCTGCTCCCTATCGAGACTCGTTAACGCCCAGTCCGTACCAGTTACTGTGAAACAAACTGTCCCAGCAGTCCGAGATATAGTCCAGCGTGGAGTAGAGCCATCGGATAAGGAACATCTGTTTCAAAAGAAAAAGAGGGAAAAAAAGCAAATGACAAAGCTGCTATCAGAGTCCTGGTAAGACTGCCCTCCCTTAAACAGAACCCCGGGCCGAATCGGCTTCAGAGCGTGCCACGAGCTTCCTTTTGTGAGCAAAACCCCCTTTTTTTAAAGAGTCTTGCCTTGGTGTTTTAAAATAGAACTAAAGTTGGTAAATGATGGTAACGGGACTGTCCAAAAAGGCAGTTAGGCAGCTGGAAAGGCCGAGCACTTACGGGAGCGAGTTCATCATTCAAGTCTGCCAGGACAGTCTCTGAAGAGAGAAGGCCGGGGTCTGTCCTCAGCTGGTCCAGGAGATCCAGGAGGATGAAGTTGTCCTCTTTGCTGCCTTGCCAGGCCTCCTCCAAGGTTTTATAGGCGATCTTCCCCGCGTTATTGCGTCGCTCCAGAATGACCACCTGGAGGAGACGATAACATCGCTGATGTCAGAGAGGGAGGAACTTTGTACTAGACAGATGTTACGCTTCAAAGTACTGGCCAGAATTAAGTGTCAGATCAAGGAATAGCATCCTACATAAAGTGATGAGAGTTAGAATGAGAGATGAAAAGAGAAAGGAAGAAAAGGGGAAAAAAGAAAATAAAGGAAATCCTCACAGCTGATTTTCCCCGAAACCTCTCATCATCCATCAGCAAGGCGTCCGCAAATTCCGGCTGCCGTTCGTTGTAGATGTGCACAAACTTCAGCGTGTCTTTGGTGTTGGCCACAGCAAAAGTCAAAAAGGCCTCGTAAGCCTCAGCAAACTTATCGCCTTCTCCGGTCAGCAGGACGACGCAGTGCCTAAGGCAACACAACGAGACGGAGCATTAAGAGCCGTTCTGGACGCGAGAGGGAACGACTGTCCCCTTTCCACTAGACAGAATGATCTTGTAGAGCCAGCAACTATCAAACAATGTGGATACCCAACGTGATCCAGGGCAGTTGTTTCCCTTCTCCCTCAGAATTTGAGGAAAGGTGGCTTCAGGAGAGGCCCCGGAGCCTCGGGGAACAAAACAGGGGGATGCGTCACCCGCGGAGACTTACTTTCGCTGGCGGTGAGACTTCTTGACGGGACACAGCTCCTGGAATAGCCTCTGGTTGGTGAGTCTGGCCACCATGAGGAACTTATTCTGGGAAAGGAAGTCATCAATGAGCTGCTTCTTCATATCTCGTGCCTGGCGAGGACAAAGAAAGCAGAGGTCAGAACCGAGCAGGATGAGGAGAGCGAAGCTGTTGCGACGTTCTTGTCTGAAGCCCGGGGAAGGCTGCCAGCCCTGAGTCTCGCTGAAATCACCCGAGATGTTTGGAGGCCCCAAGACCGAGAAGCTACCTGCAGCCACCCTCCTCGAAGGGTCAGGCAGCACAGCTGAAGCCTACCAAGCTTTCTCCCTCCTAAGGGCCACTCTGGCCTCTGCTGAAGCCCGAGATTCTGCTGAGAGCGAACGCGCGCTAGTGACCAAACTCTCATCGCAGGCTCGGTGAGGAGACACCTCGACATCCACACGAGAGCTGCTGAAGAGGGCTCTGAGCAATACCTGCACAACATCGGCGGGCTTGTCGATGTGCTCCTTGAAGATCATAATGGTGGGAGTGTAGACATTGATGTTGTACTGACTGGACAACTCTTCCGTGCCTCGGAGTCCGACGTACACGTAGCCAAAGGACAAGTAATCGCGGTAGGCAAAGGCCGTCAGCTGGAAGGGAAGAGATCACCGGCGTTAAAGAGAGCAAACAACACGTTCTCTCCCCTGAGGGCTTTTGCTTTGAGAACACCCTCCCGTTGTTTAAATGTCGCTGGGCATGTGCTGACAGCCCTTCCTCTCCTTGCTGACCTGGAGTCTGCGTTCCCTTAGTCATCGTACAGGAGCCCCAATGGATCCACAGCTTTGTGTTACAGCCCGGCACTTTGCACGGAAACGGGGGTTTCTTAGGAAACGGGCTTTCCAGTAACCCCAGTTAGATGTGCTGCAAAAATCTCTCATTACCCATCAAGGTCAGGACACGCCTCTGTTGCCTCTACCTCCGAAACCCACCCGCAGCTTCGCATTCGTACGGGTACATCCACGGCAGGACAGAGGAACAGACTCCTGATGAGTCGGTCATCTGGCCGTGCTGTGTTTAACTGACACGAATCATAGAATCCCAGACTGGTTTGGGTTGGAAGAGACCTTAAAGCTCATCCAGTTCCAACCCCCCTGCCAGCAGCAGGGACACCTTCCACTAGACCAGGCTGCTCAAAGCCTCATCCAGCCTGGCCGAGAACACTTCCAGGGAGAAGCAGCCACAGCTTCTCTGGGCAACCTGTTCCAGTGTCTGACCACCCTCACAGTGAAGAACTTCTTCCTAATATCTCATCTAAACCTCCCCTCTTTCAGTAGGTTTAGAAGAAGTAGAATCAACTTCAGTAGAAGTTGAATCTTCAGAAGAAGTAGAATCAAATCAGTAGATCCTGAACCCAGTAGAATTGGTCAATATTTAGGATTTAGAGGCATCGGTCCGCCCCGGCTCACAGTGATACTGTATTTTCTTTTGGAACAGCTGGATTTCTTAGCAAGTCAACAATGCAGCCATAGAAATCATGTTACCTTGTATAATAAGGGCACAACTGGCATATGATCAAACAGGAGGACGTGGGGCTTGTTTTCTTTCTTCCAGTTGGAGAGAAAGCGGACGTAGTTTTTATCTGTAATCTTTAAATAGAGTCAGCACGTTAGTTTAACCTCAGAACTGTTAAGACACATGCAATGCTCTAGGATTAGGTGTCCCAATGAGAACCCAATCTGGAAGAGCTGTGCAGGTGTTACAGAGAGCAGACTGGGGGTTTGCCTTTCCAACAGGTACGCCCGATCCGTGCTTTTTTGATGTGGGAAATGAGCTGAAACCATCAGTCTCGACCCCCCCACCAACCCTCGTAGTCATTGCACCCTCCGTCAATGCTGATGCCGCTCGTGTTCTCATAACTGTTCACTGGGGCCATATGTTTTGTATAGAAGGGGAAGCTGAGGGTTAACAGGAACCCCTGGGCTCCATCAAACCTGCTTTGTTTCAGCTGCGGTACCTCTGTGACCTCCAGGAAGGAGATAAAAGGGAGACCACAGCTGGTTGGTGGGGCTCACAGGTTGAGGAGCAGCCTGTTTTTGTGGAAGGCCTGACTGCAGGAGGTGAAATGGCTGCTTAAGCCATGGGAAGGGACAGCAGACCCCGCTTTTGGTGTGAGAACTCCAATAACCAGAGGACAGCAAGTCAAGAGTCTGTTGGGAAGGGTGACCCTCCTCCAAGACCCCGAGGGAGAACGCGGTGAGGTGAACGAGGCTCCGAGCAGAGGACAGGCAAGTGAGAGCGCGGTGGGGGCTGATTGGGGGGAGCATCACACTGAAACGGGAGGTGGGCTCTGCTGAAAATAACCAGGCAAGGCTGAAATGCAGGATTTTTTTATCTAGTAAGAGGTTTTACCTAGAACTTTGAAAGGGTTTGCACTGCCAGCTCCATATTCAAAGGTCTGAATCCAAACTGGATGAAAGAAACCACGGGTCTCTGTGTCAGTGAGTTTTTAGCAGTAAATGCCTACGAGTTAGTGAGGGGACCTTAATGTGCTGGGTGAAACCCCGAGAAAGGAGAAGGGAAGTGAAATCCAGCAGGTGGGTAGGGCAGGATGATCCTGAACCCAGGGGCAGGTTTTGTACAGCTCTGGCAGCCGTGTTACAACTGGGAGAGCAGCCGGTGTGCACAGAGTTGCTGGTGTAACCGCAGAGTAGCCGTCTCACAAGGAGAAGCGTTCCGGAGCGGCGTCGCCTCCGACAGCTCCGGGGTTTGTAGCTGTAATTACAGCTCTCAAAACGCTTCACCTCACCAGCCTCGGTCAGATCTTCTCGTGTTTGTGACACAGATAAGCTCAGGGGCTGAATTAAACAGATTAGGCACCGAAACAGCTAAGGAGAGATGAATATGCAGACACGGAGGAGAAGCAGCACGTGCCACTCTGGCTAGAACGTACCTTTTCTACGAGATTCCCCGGCAGAAGGTTCTCCACGAACTGCCGCAGGTTCTCTCGGATGACAGCGTTGTGGAAGAAGGTTATTTTCCCATTAATGAGCCCTAGGATGGACGGTGTGCTGTGGGCACCGAGGTGATGGGCGAGGCGCCTTTCGTACCCAGCGTGAACGACTCCGATTCCCACTCCTGAAAAAGGAGAGCGGGTTCACATGGAAGATTGGATATGAGGAAAAAAATTCTTCACTGAAAAGGTTCTCAGGCTACCTAGGGAAGGGGTTGTGTCACTATCCCTGCCAGTATTGAAATGATGGGGTGCTCAGAGATCTGGTTTAGTAGTGGACAGGTATGGTTGGAGAAGAGGAGACTGAGGGGTGACCTCATTAATGTTTATAAATATGTTAAGAGTAAATGCCAGGAGGATGGAGCCAGGCTCTTCTCAGTGATGCCCAATGGTAGGACAAGGGGCAATGGGTGTGAGCTGGAACACAGGAGGTTCTGCTTCAACTTGACAAGAAACTTCTTTACAGTGAGGGTGACAGAGCCCTGGGACAGGCTGCCCAGGGAGGGTGTGGAGTCTCCTTCTCTGGAGACATTCAAGACCCGCCTGGACGCCTTCCTGTGTGATCTCATTGAGGTTCCTGCTCTGGCAGGGGGATTGGACTGGATGATCTTTTGGGGTCCCTTCCAATCGCTGACATTCTGTGATTCTGTGACTCGATGATCTCAAAGGTCTTTTCAAACCAAGTGCTTCTATGATCACCAGCAACCCAAACCGCCTTGTAGAAAATGGAGGTTGAGGAGCAGTTCCCTTGGCCAGCACCCTGCTCGGGAGTTATTCATGGGCCTGTCCCTCCTAACTCTTCCCTCTCCTCCTCTGACAGTCCTTGAAGACTGTATGGCAAACTCACAGCTTTATCTAGGGGGAGAGAGAGAAGACCCTGTCCTCTCGTCTTCTGTCCACTGGTATTTCATGTGCTATATTCAAACCTCAAGGAGAAAAATTCTGGCAAGTGGGAACCACGCTGCCTTTGTCTCCTGCTGTCTGCTGAGTTTGTGATTTTTCTGGTAGCAGAAAAGTGGGGTTGAATTAAACAGATTAGCCACCAAAACAGCTAAGGAGAGACGAATATCCAGACAACATCTGCGGGGAACACAAGGAAGCTGGGGGTGGAGTGGCACGTACAAAATAACTCCTCAGCCTCCAAATGCGCTCGGTAAGTCTTAAAACTTCACCGTCTGGCAGCAGCCCTCAAGTCGAGGACATACCCTGCAGGGATCTTTCCTTATCAAAGCCACTCGAGTGCAGGATAAAGAGCGACACAGCGTTTATGCTGGTGGCCTAAACTCGTGGTGGTGCCATCAGCCCTCGGCCACGCCGGCGTTTATTATCGTCGGCGTTGGACTGAGCCACCAGCCGGAGGGACAGCAGAAAAGGCACCGGGCCCTTGTGATCTGCAGGACTATTTTTTTCTTCCTCCTTTCTAACATAACAGCCTCATCAACGTTAGTAACACACAAGAAAGCGTCAGGATAAATTCCTGAGGAAATGTACGGATTAAACTCAGTCTTCCCAAGCCGAAGGCAACGGCCGCAGCCTCGCCGGGCGAGAGACGCGCGCCCAAGCTCAACGGCTTCGTCCTTACCCAGCGCCTCCAATTCCTGAGCGACTTCCTTCCACACGGGCTCGATGTGGATGCAGCTGAAACACCAGTCAGAGGTTATTTTAATGAGGTAAGGTTTCTTGAAGCTGTCTGGCACGATTTCGTTGACGTAGTGGGAAAAATGGAGCAAATACTTTTCGTCGGAGGTGTCGCGCCTCTCCGAATTGAAAGGGAAATGGAAGAAGGACTCGTCAAAGTAGAAGCCTTCGTGGAAGTGGTGGAACTGGCGATGCTGGTGCTGAGAGTAGCCCTGGCTTTCCCCAGCATCTCCATAACGATCAAAATTTGCCCTTTTTTCCTCATTGGAGAGAATCTGGGAAGTAAATGATAAAACAGTTGCTTGAAATCGTGAGGAGGGAACTGTCCCGACAATAATCCCTCAGCGTAAATAACTGCAGCCACGTAAGGACGGACTGCAAGGGAACGCACAGCCTTTGCTGAGGGATAAATATTGTGGAAAGGGAATTATCACATCGCTTCCAGGCTGGCTGTGGTAAATAAGGGTTTAAAAAAAACCCCAAAACCCCAAAGAAAAGGAGCTTGTCAATCCACTGTCCCCATTTCTGACACCGATCGCTCCTCCAGCCCGTGCGTCACGCCGCCGGAGCATTAAGGCTCTTGTCTGCAGGGGCTTTTGCTGGCGTCTCCTTGAACGTCAAAGGTTTTCTCAGCACATCAGAAAGCACCTCAAGTTTTACCAAACGGCCAGAAGCCCCACAGAGAAATGGCATTTTTATTTTTATTTATTTTTCTTATCCTCAGCTGAGAGATGAGGATTTGCTTTATTTCGGCTGTGGAAGTATCGGGTCAGCCGCCGCAAACTGGGGCAGCCGATTTCGAGAGCCGTGCAGGAGCGATGTGCAAATAACTACTTAAGCAAAGAGTTATTTGAAGCAAGTAAAGCCCCAGGGTGATTTATGTTGCTTAAGTCACCCCCCAAAATGCTTGTATGTACGTGTGACACGGAGAAGACGGCCACTCAGCTGCGCGGGGCTCGGCGAATACCCGCGTCTCCCTCGTTTGAGGCTTTTTAGTGACAACAGGACAGACTTGTAGCAAAATGTTTGCAACAGAGGCCAGGCCGGTGACAGCCAGTGGCTCTGTGTTGAAAAAGGAGAGGAAACTTCTGGTCAGCAGCGTCCATCTCCACGGGGTTCAGCACCTTTTCCACATAGAGGTACACGGAGAAGAAAAAGCATAAAGGCACATATGGAAAAATAAGGTGACTTAACTTTTAAGGAGGGCAGGAGTTTAGCAAGGAGAGCGCCTTACCTCGTAGGCTTTGCTGATCTGGATGAATTTGTCTTCTGCTCCTGGGTCCTTGTTTTTGTCAGGGTGCCTACGAGGCAAAACCGGAGGAAAAGGGGGTCAGCGGTTCCCCGGAGGACAAGGGGGGTCA